TCTCTCTCCATTCTACCCTCCGCTTCCTCCACCCTTCTAGGATGCACGAATCCATTTCCGATGCAGTCGCGTGCAGGAAATCGAATATACACGTCGTCGCGAGCGAACCGCCCGGTAGCGCGCGGACTTGTCGATCTTTTTGTTAGATAATCCTCTCTTCTTCTCTACGTCCTTTCGTTCTCTTCCCGCGTTCCCTCTTTTCGACAGAGCAAGCTGATAGCGTCGATCGTGCTCTTATCGCATCCTTAACCCTCGCGCTAGGGTTAACTCTGGCAAGATTATCCGATATTCTGATTGCGAGCTTTTCTGCTCGTCAGCATTCTTGTTTTTTTTACACGAGGGGAACTTTCTGCTCTCGACCCCTCCGTTCTAATGCTAGGGAAAGAATAGTGTGGAAAAATTGGTGGAAATGTACGTTTAGAAACCTATTCAGCGCAAGTGAGAGTTCGGATACGATATCGAGTCGTTGTCAAATCCATCAATCGATACCTGAGGAGAAAAAAGTATGGCGAGATAGAGAGCGCGAAAAGAGATAACGAGAGCGCGAAAAGAGAGAACGAGAATGACGTAGAAAAAAGGATTTGAGTGACGAGATCGTACAATTAGATGTCATCTTCAACGCTATAATCCTCTCCCATCGATTTGGCAATGACGACAATGACCTAGGCCTCGCGAAATGCTTGAGTTTCCGCCCGACGATCAAAGCCGTTCACAAACAGATTCTACCCACGCGCGTTTCGTACGGTTAACTAAGCACCTTTCGGACACGCACCAAAGCGCGTAACGAGCCACGCGGTGTTTCGCCCGCGGTCGTTTCTCGTCACATACCAATGGCGAAATAATTCGTCGATACCGCGAGCAAGCGGAAATAATCGGACCGCCACGCGTTCATCACAGAGAATTCCGCGTGAAAATTTCCTCGAAATTCCACAAGTCCAAATCGTTCTCAAGTTCACGCTCCTTCGATTCATGATATATTAAACTCACGCCCGCCACGTAGTTTCTCCACAAACACAAAATCATAAAACTCTCAGAACCTAAACAGGATATCTCTCTCTCTCTCTCTCTACACGTATGAAATACCAGATTTTTCCAACATACAACCGTATTTCGCGGGCCATATGTGTTGCAGCTGTCAGATTTCACCCGACTTTTCCAAATCCCCAGCGCGTGATTTTCTTTCCGATAAAGAGACAAGAAAAATCTCGGCTCAGAAGGATTCTTCAAGAAAATTCGGAATTAATTTTGAGATTGTAACAAAAAATGTTGGCTGTTAATAAAAAGTAAACAAAATTTTACCGTTGCAATATCTCTTTCTCTGAAGAAAAATGTTTTAGCGAACTATCTAGCTTTTTCGTTCTTCTCTGTCGTGAAATATTCGGAGCGGTAAAGAGTCATACGCGAATTTTCTCGGGGTTCGCAATTTCTTAGCCAGCGCCGGTGTCACGGAAGATGAAAAGTTTGGGAATGCCTGATGTGGCGCGCAACGGACGTGTGCGGCGCTCCACATAAAATGTCGTATAACCGCTTGCATACGAGAAAATATTTTTCCGGCGATCTTGCCGCGCGCGCGCGCGTGTCGCTCTGAAGATTTCTGACCTGCTTCTGAATAGTTTGTTCTCACCTTTGATATGCAAATCGGCGTCGTTGTTCACAACGCTGCCATACCGTCTTGTCGCTGAATTTTAAGTGCGGCCGCCGCCCGATATCGCGCAATCCTCGTGTCGCGCTGCGAGCTCCTTACGCAGAAAGTTCAACGTTCTGCTCGCGGTCCATTTAGAAAAGAAGCAGCAAGCTTACGTGCCGAGCTCGGCACGGGTTTATCCCACAGTCCGCATGCAGCAACGTAGCGCCCATTACGCGGTACACCAGTGATTTAATCTCGAGCTTTATGGCTAGACGCGGCTGAGTCCTTTATCGTGGGAGTTTTTCGCGCTAAGCTGCATCGCGCGTTTTATTTAAACCTCTCTTAAATAAGGAAGATTCTGCTCTCACTCTGATTCTCAAAATAACTTGGTTATCCATAATCGATGGTTAAGATAATAAAGGTGATAAAATAACAAAAAATATCACGACGACGCTATAGTTCTTTCTCATCTTGAATAGCTATTTTTGGAATATTCTGTACTTGCATGAAAACCAGTGACAGATAAAAATAGTCTCTAAAGACCACTGCGCGCACGGTTGACTGGTCATTGAAATTATTTATAAACCGTATAACCGGGTGTATTGTTCTCTTTACAGGAGGAAAAAGAAGCTGCCGCGGTGATGCCAATGAACGACGTGTTTCCTGCGAAAACGTCAGCGCAAGGGAAACAAACGATAGGTATCGATAGTAAGCCAGCCAGTAATAGCAGAACGAATCGGGTCGGACACAAGACAAGTTCTGCTCTAACGAAGCGAATTTCTGTCGCTTTATCGAGGATTCTGCTCAGTTCATTTGATTCGTTTGATTTTGTCGTCGTCGGTCGATGCTTGTCCGGGATCCGAAAGTGGAGCGTACGTGTAAACGATGAGAAACTCCGAAGGGGTGTTTGAAACGCTCGACATCCTTTGCGCGTCGTTCAAAGGATCTCGTTCCCCGCGTTGGCATGCGGTATCGCGCGTACTTCTCCGAATAGTTTCAGCAAGGCAAACAACAAAGGGCAAACGCCAAAAAGGACACCAAAAGCGACGCTTTACTTGCGCTCATGGCCGTTGTGATTAATTTGTCGCGCATATAGAACCGAATACGAATCCGTTTAGTTTCAATCACTGATACAAAGTTGACAACATTAAATAACTCTTCTTTTTTTCGATTTTTTGAATGATGTACGTACAATAAAATATGTCACGTGTTTCGCACCGAGAAGTCAGAACTTGTTTCAATTATCTCAAATATTCGCATAAGTTTGCGAGAATCTCGAGAAATAAGACATTTGAATGTGTGTTACAAGAGACTAAAAGTTCCCTTTAAAATCAAAACTCTCGTTATAAAGTTTCAAAACTGAGAAATCATCATATCGGCTTATTTAAACGCGCTAATTACGATGGGTTTATACGCGATAAATTGAACGCGCGCTGGCGCAAATCAACACACAGATATGTATATATACGTACGCGCAGTCGCGATTTATGCGACGAGAATAAATTATTTCTAAGAACAAACTTCCGCGGTGTTATGTGATAAATAGAAATTATTTGCACGAAATGCGCCCGAGTGTCATCGTCAGACCGCGTTGCATATCTAGGTTGAGAACGTTACTAGTTGCCGTTATTGCAGTTAGTTTAATCCCCTAATCTGAGCGCATTAATTACGATGCGTACATACGGCTGCGACATGTAAGAGCAATTTCGCATTCTAGCGTGGCGAATACGCGTTAATACTCTCGTTTCGCGCACTCGTCGTTAAGCGTGTAACAACTTTCCGAGTGCATTCGCGCAATCCGCAACTGACTTTTCTTCATTTTTTTGAAATTTGCTTTCTGGCTTTTGAGAACGCGCATACAACTCGTTTGTCGCGAGTACAGTAAATAAGTATCGCGTGCATCGCTTGTTCTCTCGTTAATTTTGCGAACGAGAGTTTCCAAGATTTGTTTACACGATTTCGAGTAGTCTCACGTCGCCACTCGCTCTCCTAATCAAAGTTTCGCGCATAGCTGGCACTTGGTTCTTCAGCATGCTACGGGCCGGAAACATCGTCAACGTGCGAACTATACTATGTATACGTAATATACGTGCATACAAACGTGTTTATTTCTCGCGTTGGGGAAAATCAAGCGGGTGTGATTGAGCGATTCTAATTAAGTTCGACGGTGCAGCAATAGCTTAATTCAATTAAGAAACAAATATCTGTTAATTAGCACTCTGGCACCGAAAAAGCGAATCAAGAACTTACACATACATGTAATTATTGAGTACAAGATTGTTAATTTGTGAAAATAAATATTTGCGCAACGGAGAATTTATATATGACGATTCCATACAGAATGTTCTGAAGAAAAACATCGTATTTTATTATCAAATATTTATGAATTTTTTCGTTATAAATAGGCAATAAAGTGCAAATAAAATTAAATTCACCAATTAGAAGGCAGTAAAGGCAACGCAAAATCATTATTTTTTGCGAGAAATATAACTCGAGTTAGCGATTGAAGTCGCGTAAATACATTTTTTTTCTGACGTGACAGGAGATATGCTTTTCGTCCAAATGCATCTCTAATTTGCTTGCGCGTCATCTGCGCTCTATTTACTCCTCCGTAAATGCAACACGGTTGCACGTCCTCTGGGATTCGAGCGGCGCGCGATATAGTGCGACGTCTCTTAAAAAGTTCACCGCATATATCATCGGTGGATTGTCGTGGCTTTGCAAGGCGTCGGGTGGATGCACATAAATATTCATCGAACTTTCCCGGTCTGATTGCACGCAGCGACGCCTGCCGACAATTTCATCACGCGACGCGTAATACGATCTTACGATATATCATTCAACATGTGGAACTTCGGATCTGCCAGTTAATTTTCAACACGTTACAGAGGTCGTTCGTTTTCCTTGTTTCCAAGTGATGTACGACGAGGTACTTTATTTTCAATATTTTCGCGCAGAAACCGCGAACAAAATTCACTTACCTCATTTACGAAATAAACGAACTCGATTAACGAGATCGAAAGAAAACTCATCGCTCGGCGCCGTTTTCGGAGACATCGAACGACTAAAGGAAATTAATCGGGCGCCATCGTTATTTTGCAAGGATGGTCTGCAAGTGAGAGCTCTATGAGCCGAAGCCGGCGAGATCCTTAAATATCCCCGGCGGGAAAAGTTCGGGAAAGCATCGAGGTCACAGCTATCGATCTCCATAAGCCATCTTATCGCAGCTATGTTGCCGTTAATTTCGAATTATTGGCCGGCTCTGAGAGGTACAGATACTTGTGTCGTAATTCAAAAATGAAATTTCTATGTCTAATTATATTAAGCGCGGAAGAAATAAACCAGCAAGTTTTATGTGGGTAATTTATTTACAAGAGTAAAACATTATGTACAAGAATGCGCGTTTTCTCGCAAGAGAATCATGTGAAAACAATATTCGTGAGAAGGGTGTGAACGGATAGGGAACATAGTTTTCTTTTCGGGCTAGTCGTAAGTGTAAATCATACGTGTGGTAAAGTCGCGTGGTTTACATACATTTCTCTACTATTACCAGTACGTGTGTATATTGTGTGTACGTGTGTGTATGTCTTTTCTGTGTGTGCTTTTTTTGCTTTAAGTTTCATTTAACACTTATGCCGTAAGTAGAAAGTACTTCGCCACGGGGCGGAGATCGCTCCACCTTTGCTTTGTTACATCGCTTTTTGGTTAAACTTGCTCGTGACACATTTATTTTACATTTAACACTTTCCTCACAAATTCTCTTTATAGTCGGTAAAAGACTTAAAATCTCATTTTTTTTTTATTTCTCACGCTCTTTCTTTTCTAGCGACACTTGCGCTCGACTTTTGACGTCTTTTTTTCGTCGGTTCTACACATTGTCGTTAATTCTCACGTCGCACTGCAGCGCTGCCGTTGAACGTCACGGCGAAATAATTCGCGAATTTCGGCAACGACAATGTGCCTTTTTAATACTTCTCGCACGAGCCACATAGATCCTTAATTAAAAACTATATATAAAGAACTTTAAACTCGTCGTTGCCGAAATTTTTGAATAACAAGTAGTATGTTTTCGTCATTCTCGTAGATATGATAAAAGTTCGCGATTGTTTGATATTTGATGCTTTCGCGATGTGCTATAAGAATTCCTGGGAGTGGGAGTTTTCGAATTTGACCGCATTAGTGTCAGTTTTTTATACCGACGTTTTTGTAGACATTTGCTTGAAAAATATCACGCTGCTCTTGAATCCTGATGAGAAGTGAACTGAAATGTTGGTATAAAAATGACAAAACGTCAGTATAAAAATGACAACGCGAGGTTCAAACCGTTTTCAAGAATTCTCGACTGTTCTTCGTACAAACCACAATTCAACGCCCATCATGTTGTTTCGACAGTGAAAACTATATTACTGCTAAATTTCAGAAATGTGAACTAATTCTCGAGCTAAATCAAACAGGCATTTGATTTGTTTGCTAATTAAGTGTTTGCGAATTTAGGGAAACTTTTATTCTTATCTTATTTCGTTACCTATGTGTGACTATGGTGTGCAAAAGAAGCTTATCCACGCGAAAGTAACTATATACTGCACATCACCAATGATTATGTCTTTTTATCGGTATGTTAATCAAGCAAAAATTGACGTTAGCAATATTGCGCCGCAATTAGTGTCACATCATTACTTGCAATTTAGATATATAGATATATTATAAAAGAATATGTTTAAAAATGCAATATAAAACAAAAGCATATCTGTAAACTGTTAAACAATTGGAAAAAATGTTGAAGCTCAAAACAGATATGTATCGTCAATTAATAAAAGTAAACGATATCTGCTTGTTATTTAGGGGAAACGGTCGTTAAACATGACGTTGTAATTATTAATATCGGACGCAAATTGACGCTGGAAATATTATTTGCGCAGTACGCCAATTACTGGAAAATGCTTCCGAAGTGGAAACGCCTCGGTTCGCTTGTTATAATTACGTGGCTATTTAACGTTTTACTCGCACACAGTTTCAACTGCAAATATTACAATTTGCCACGTTGCAACACATATGTGGGGAAAAGTTTCGGTGCGCCGAGTTTATTCCTCGCGAGTTCTCGCGATCGAGTAAAAGCGTCTCAGAAGTTCGTCGCGTAATCTGTACTTACGGGACACCGTGTATATGATCGTCTCTCACACACACACACACACACTTCGTACTTAACCCTTAGGCACAAAGCTTTCCTCTTATTACGTACGAATGAGCTGTCTCTCAGAGATTATCCTCGTGCTTCTCACCTTAGCGGCCAAACACACAATGAAGTTCAAGATAAGTAGAAAAAAAACTTTTTCTCCGACAGAGATTAAAACAGATAAGATCTGTACAAAAGACTTAAATATTTTATAAAATATGTAACGTTTTTAAATTATACTGAATTTCGAACTTTTATTCCAACATTTTGTTGTATTGCACAATTTTTGAAATTACTTCACGATGTGCGTGTGAACGCTATGATGAGACTACCTAGAATCTAACTCGGGGTGATCCGTGCAGAAGGGTTAAAGTTAACGATGTGTGGACGACAATCACGTTGTGCTGCGTTTATCGATTTTACGAGTCTCGGGCGACCTTCGTGTACGCGCACATTATCTCAGCTGACCCAGAAGAAAGGCGAGCATCACCAGAACCGTCTTGGAGTTGGGCGAGCCGGCTGCCGTGTTTCCGTGCTGCATCGCGGCCGGATGTTCACCTGAAACAAGAACGAGCACTCGCGTAAGATAGTACCTCTTTCTTTATTTTCTGACGAATCCATGCCATGGCAGTCTGTGGAATGCAATGAAAGGAATTGCAGTGATGCAAGAAGAACACGTGAAGTGAAGCTTCAGCAAGATTTTCGAATTCTCATAGTAGTCGCAACACGAATAACATGACAATTTGCTGTATGGAATAAAAATGTCAATTGCAGAAATTTGACGAGAATTTGTTATATAAATCGCGCACCTCGATCGCAACTTGATTGCTTTAAACTATGTTTATTTTTATCCGCGCGCACACACGTATCAAATTCATTGTTTTTTTTAAAGAATGTATACACTTTCAAATTCATTTTAATATTTTACGATATTGATCTATCTATTATTAAGTCATCATATTTGGTCATGATGATTTTAATAATTCTATTCTTTTATATATCCTTTATAATATGAAGAATGTTCTGTTATATAAATTCTACTACAGAGAGCATGTGTGCAGTTGCAAACAATTTTCACTATGAATTTTCATTTTCAATGTCCTACATTTTATTTCCGCTTTTTGAAAATTTTATATTTTGATAGTAATTTTATCTATTCATAACAAACAAAAAATTTCATAGTTATACATGTGTGTGATATAAAAAAGTGTAAATTTTGCACGGCGGTGAATGATATACGATAATCCTTCCTGGCCATTTGCATATGTACGTGTGTATACGAGAGAGATCAAGACTGGATACGGGATATAAATTGTTGAAAAACTCTCTCTGAGGTATGGGACGGATATTTCAAGGCGAAGTAGTCCCAAGTTTGATGTAATTTTCTATGTCAGTGTCGGAGCCTCCACGGATTTGTAGAATTGAGGTCAGCACGATATAGCAATATAGCAGAGTTGCTACAGGGGAGTGCCAGCGTGTTTCTCGTATATCGAGGCATTCGCACTCTCGATTGATTTCTTAGCCAACAGTTCTGGAACTAGAACGATCGTCGCGAGGGCAGTTTGCGCGTCGCTCTTCTTCGTCTTCGCTCGACTCGACGAGCGGCAGCGCATATAACACGAGTACACCCCACTTCTCTTATTATCTCTAGTGTCTGGTCCCACTTTTGGGACGAGAGATTCATTATTGAATCCGGCATAATTCGAAAGTAATCAAGCGTATTAGGTCGCGCGAAGAAGCAATCTCGAATATTTCTGAAACGAATCGCTCTCTTTTGTGCTGTCGTTCACGACAACAACGAGATGCGATTTCTTAAACATCGTTCAACCTTATGTACTTTTATGTCTCAAAACGAGTAAAGACTTTTATGTATAAACTCTCTGAGATTGATTCCATTCGTGTTTGATAAAACTTTGGAAGTATCTAACGAATCGCAAATTGCGTTCGTTCGCAACGCCGTGTCAGAGTTACATCACCAATGCGCCACATGAGAAATCAAATCAACCAGAGCATTAGCCCTGTCCTACCCTCTTGACATTCCGTATTTTCGTGCGATTACTGTCGATTAATATGCGTCGTGCGAATTCACGTGCTGTTACGTGTATTTTTGAAACAATTGCGACGGCCGCAGAGAGCATACGCGTCTATTAACCGCGTTCATTTGCTTCTCATTGCACGATCGGATTCGTTATTTAGTTTTATGCGAACATTCCAAATAACGATCGCAATTTCTATCTGTCTCATCCATAACGTACGTGCCACAATAGGAGGTTCAACGTTAATAATCGTCTGATTATTCTCGAGTACTATAGTTGCCTCCTTAACGATATTTTCTAGTATTCAACTCGGCATACGATTGTTTTACATGTGTCTAAAAAAAATTATCATGTTTAATTCCAAATATAAAACATATAAACAAACTAGAAACATATCATGTGTTTTGAGAAAAATTTTATTTCTCTTAAAATTTCATTTGTTGCACACAGTAAAGGCACAAATATGTCAAAGTGCCGTATATTGGATGTAAAATTATCAGCAGTCGCTACTGAAAAAGTAATATTATTCAATGGTACGTATCGTTTTCTTTGCATACATGTTAAAAGTACTTTTATTTCTCGATTGAAATTTATTATCATATATTTGAAGAATTTTAATAAAATACACGTATTATTTAGTTACGTAGAAGCAACATATGAAAAATTAAAATAGAAGTTTTATCAAACATAAAACAAAAGTTCAATATTTAATTGTATCACGACTCGTCGACGATATAAAAATTCTTGCGTAATAAAAATACAAAGGACATTCCCCTTCAGCTTTAATAATCTTCAAGTATATCTTATCACATATCGTCTGGTCGATCGATGAGACTGCGTCACATCGTCGTCGTCTCGCAACGATCTGCGCGATATGAGCGACGAGAGACTCGTTGAAAATGCTTCAGCTAGCGATACGAGACTGCGTAATTAACTGTGTAATTAATCGAGAATTGAAATTCGACGGGACTCGTCAGCGCGATTTCGCAGACAGAACAATGGAGAGTTATTAATATATCCTCGTAACACGCGCGCGACACGACGGAGGTGGAATTCGTCCCGAACCTAGGTAGCACCGATTGCAGAGAATAGGACAAAGTATAATTAGCCGAATATGCGAGCTAAATGAATTTTGCATTATCGTTTAGCGCGCGTTTGACAGAGGAAGCGAGTCATGATTACTATACAGGCAAGTTGCGACGACGATTTTGATGAATAATTCAACATGAAGTTTGTATAATTAAAACGATCAAATTGAACATTTTTTTAATATACTCACGCAAAATTACATAGTAAAAAATTTCATCATTTTCGCAAAAAAAGGAAAACTTCTTTTCGTATTCAATTGTCTCGTATTCCATTTTGGTCTCGCGTGCATTAGGCTCTTTGGAGAATAGGACACCAGGCATTACTTGTTCATACTATCTCTCTCTTGGTGCACACTCTCGCATAATTACATCTTTCTACAAATGCGCTGCTGCATCTAGAAGACGTGCGATTTTGCGAAATTAACGTTCTTCCAGCGGAGTGGCGGAGAGAGTTTTCTCTGTAAAAAGAAATAAGTCGGCGGGTCGTACAAATCGCGGCCGCGGCGCTTGCCTTGCCCCCTTCTTCCTGTTATGCATATCTGAATATTTATCTTTCCGGAGTAGCCGGCGCGCGCATTCATCGAGCATGGAGAAGAGATGAATTCATGCACTTCGCCCGAGATAATTGCACTTCGGCCGGGGTCCGTAGCTCATTTGCACTGCCGGAAGAAATACGCTTTTTTTTGACGATGAAAGACGGCACTTCATTCGTTATTTTGTATCAACTTCCGCTCGTTATTCGCTTAGCCATTTCCGTCTATCGAAAGTCTCGACTACTCGAATTATTTTTTAAACATCATATTGTCTTCGTCGAGACTAATAAAAAAGACGATAGCATTTCGATGATAGATAATCAATTGATTGTCATAGTTTTCGACGCGCACCTAACGCATTTTTTCGACACTCTGATTAAAAAGAAAATGAAATTTTTGTCTGTTAAGTCTATATTTTTGAGAATCTGTTAATAAAAATTAGAATCGGCCGTGATACACCAAAGATGCTTCCAAAGGTTCCCGTTTCTAACGAGATTTCCGAATAGACTAGCGCAGAGGAAGACAATTTTCCTTTTGTCATGTCTTATAGTTCCCAACGGATTTCGAAAATTGGATCACGAGTGTTAGAGCTTCTCTTTGTCCTCATAATAAAAAGATTTTCACTAACAAACAGTTTCTCTATATACTCTATCGCCTGAACAAATAACAGAGTCACGTACGTATATTTATCGTATCAACAAGTTCTAATAAAATAAAAATAAACAATATTCTGTAATAAAATTTTTCAAGCATGTAAATTTAAATTTTGGATTATTTATCAAATATAATAAATATGGTAAATATATTATATAATTGTGTGGCCAAATATAAGTATTCATATAAATATAGAAGCCTTCTTTAATATACACGCTGTTGAGAACAAAGACATTCGGTCCGGCAACAGTAGAAACTACTTGAGCTCGTTTTTAATGCCGCATTTTGCCTGTCTGGAAACAGTACATTATGCTTTATATTCTTGAAACGATGTTGAAATTTAATGACAACGGTCAGCTTCTAGAAGAATCTTCATAATGACAATATTTTTCTTTAAAAGCAGCTTTTTAAAATACCGGCAGATATTGCATAAAATATTTTTGTGCTTTTTTGTATATTAAAAAAAGCTACTGAAATATGGCTCTTGACAATATAAATCGCAATTATTTAGAAACCCAGTCGCTTCAAAAATACGTAAAAAACTTATATTATTACGACGTTTGCTACAGCGTAACATAATATCGAATGAGACGGTTTTGCAGCTGGTCGTCAAATCGAGCTAATAGGTATACCGACAGCGAATTACCGAAGCTGCCGATTTCTGATCCACTCGGATATTCGTTGCAACGGTGAGATACGCCGGGTAATGCGGCGGCGAAATTGGTTGCACCGAGGCGGACGGGCGCGTTCGCGGTCGTGCCGCGAAAATTACGGTAGTAACAGCACCCGAGCGGAGAGCCCGCCGAAACAACCGGAAAGATCCCCGGCTGTCGAAACACCGCAAAATTTCCACCCGTTCGTTCCCCGCTCCGGTCGCTTCTGGAAAACCCTTGTAATCTTTCGCGCACGGCGGAGCGGCGCGTAATTAACGCGCGCGGCTCGATCGACCGAAAAATTTCCGGGCTTGTGTCTGGCTCGGCCGCGATTGCGATTCAAAGCGCGCAGAGAGCTACTACTATTGTAAGCATCGGCTGTGCCCCTTTTAGTTACATTACTCACACGTGTCTTTTTTCCTCTCCTTTTCAATCTTTTTCCTTTCAATGAATGAGGTATCGATGATAAAACACGCAGAGAGAAAACCAGTAAAAATTTTTCGAGTTTCTATCTTTTCCCTTAGTAATTTTAACTTTTTACAAATGTTATCTTTGTCTCAAGGTACACAAAAAAGCGCAGTTTAATTGCAGAAA